AGGTGAACAGGTGAACAGGTGAACAGGTGAACAGGATCTCACCTGTGGGCTCTGAATGTGTAGATGGGCTCCACATCTAAAGCTGCACATCTGTACAATGACAGAAAATGACAGAGTTTAATCTGTATTTCATTTTCTTCCCTGATTCGACTTTATGTACGTGAATTTTTCGGTGACACGTCGGAGTCTCACTTCTTGGCGGGCGCCGTCTTCTGGAGGTTCCACAGTTTGAGGGTGTGGTCCTCGGAGGCGGTGACCAGCACCGGTTCCACTGGGTGGAAGGCCAGACTCCGCACCGAGTCAAAGTGGCTCCGCAGGGTGAACTTGGGGTTCCAGGTTTTCCTCAGGACGTCTTTGTTGTTGGTGATCTGAGGGAACAAAGTTTCACTTTAATCTGTTTGTGAACAAAGAGTTACGATTATGAGCTGAATACATTATTTTATCAAAGTTAAAATGAGAAAAAGAAATTCAGAAAATGTGAATGTAAAAATTCACACGGACGTCTAATAAACATTTTAAAAAGACAATAAATACGTCAGAAACACGAAGAAGAAAATTGTGGATAATTTTGAATGTAAATTATATTAAATTAAATTAAAATCTGAGCAAAGTGAAAAGAAAAAACTTCACAGGTCTGATTAAAACAGGAACCTAGTTTAATCAGCGACTTGTTTTTCAAGTTGTATAAATGTGAATGAATGAATAAATATCTTCTGTTCCTAATTCTCCATAAACGACCGAAATGCTTTTTACGTGACTCACGTCGTACGTCAGGCTGTCGGCCTCGTTGGCGACCGTCAGTCCGGCCAGTTCTCCCAGTCCGAGCTCGTTAGAAACCGCCTCGTCCACCCGGCCCAGGATGAGCGACTTCTCAGACGACGGCAGGTACGTCATCGTCTCTATGAACACAAGGTGGGTCGACCGGGTTAGAAACACTTCAACATCTCTGTTAACCAGTTTCTCATGAATGGACCAATGAGGAGAAGGGAAGGTTACCGTCATCGGGGCGTCCCACTTCCTGCTCACTGAGCCTGGGTACACTAGGCCGCGATGGCGGGGTCACAGGAGGCTGCATCGAGGGAAGTTCCTCTGCATCACGCAGGTTAGCCAGCATGTCCTGAAGCTTTGAACGGTTCGGTCCTGGAGCAGAAAGAGAGGAAAAGACAGGGGAAGAAGAAGAGGAGGAGGAGGAAGAAGAAGAGAGAAACAATATCAAAGGAAGGAAGAGGAACATGTTTGGGCCAGAGACGAAAACTTCAGAAATCAGTAAAACGAAGGTAAAGAAATGAAGAAGATCTGAGAGGAACACAAACAAACACAGCTGCAGACGCTCGAACAGAAGAGATGAAGGAAAGTAAAAACAGAAAGAAGATGAGATCTGAACGACGAAGAGTGAGGAGGTGACATGTCAGAACATTTCCCCGACTCGGTCTCTGCACTGACGCTGATGGTCGTTGTTCGTATCTGTGTCTCACCTTCTCTTGAATATTAAAAGCTAACAGTTCATCAGAGTCATTGTCTCGAGCAGCGGGTTGCTTTTGATTTTCCTGCATCGCCTGTCGTCGTCTCGTGGCAGCTTGATCTAAAAAAGCTTTTGAATCAACCTGACGATGAGCTGGACGTTCTCCAGGCTGCTCAGTGTCAGAGCGGGCCAGTGACACGCAGACGAAACAGAACAACAGCAGATAAAGATGGAGGAGGAGGAGTGATGACGCAAAGCCTGCTACAGAACTTACGTTTCACTCCCTTCTTCCCTTTTCGCTCCTTCTTGTACTGCTCCTTCAGCTGCGCTATCAGTCCCTGATCCACGTCCCACGACAGCTCACCCAGAGGAGACTCTTCCTTCTCTGAAGGAACAGGAGGAGGATTAAGAGGAAGAGGAGGTGAAAATAAAAAATAACAACTTGTGTATAAGTGAAATCACTTTTGAAGCAGCCTTATGGGGGCGTGACGCACAGTTACTATCAGCTGCTGTACACGCCAATCAATACCCACAATGCATCCAGAGAACGTTTAACACTCGTTTTGTTTGTGAGCGCGGCTCGTTCAGGAAACTGTTCCAACAGCAGAGTTCGTGCTCTGACGAGTTTAGGAGTGAAAGTTACGAGTCCTGCTGCTGAGTCAGCACTAAACGATCTGGACTGAGAAGAGCTGAGTCATGATGTGCGTGGGGAAGCTTTTTGTCTTCGGACAGATGACTCTGAACGCGTTGCTTAGTAACAGTAGGAAACAGGGGTGTTCTGGGTAAAGTGCGGAGGAGGCCACGTCATCAGAACTTTAGTTGTAGAGAGTTTTATAAATAGAGTAAGTGGTCGGTGCAGGGGCGGAGTCTTCAGCTTGTTTTTTATCAGATGAAACTTTAATCGTACGTTTGCAGTCACAGATGTTGATGATAGATGTATTTATTTTTCTGTCTGATCTCCGTCCACACTAACCGACTGAAAACACACGTCACATGACCGTTCACATGTCACTGGTCATGTGGTGTGAACAGGAAGTAGATTGTCTCCTCTGCAGTTGGTTGTTTATTAACAGAAAATCCTCTGAAGGAGGAGTTAGCGACACTTTGTATTCACGGCTGGTTGTTGAGTCATGTGACTGATAAGAACCAATCAGGACGAGACGTGGGTGTCTCTGTTTCTAACCCCGCCCCAGTGAGACGACTCCTGTGGGTTTTTGTTGGTCTTCAGGCACTGGGATCTCTGGGACGCTGCAAAAATAGTTTACCGACACCAAATACTCGGCGAGGAGGGACGCTCGCTCCGTGTGTCTGACCGGGCATCGCGCACCGTTGCTCCGTGGCAACAGTGATGAGTTATAAAAGTAAAGTGCAGCAGTGTGGGCGGAGCCTGAATCAATCAGTGACATTTTCGACCATACAGATCTGTGAGTCATCATCTTACCCCACTCAACGCTGTCTTCGCCACTCCTGGACTCAGGCGACCCGTCCAGCTCGTCTGAACTGGCCAAGAAGTCGAAACCTTTCAGCGCCTCCTCTGTGTCGGGGTCATCGCTGAGGTCAGAGGTCGTGGAAGACGGAGTTGAAGACTGTTTCTTCTTCACTATCTGGTTAAAGTTACAAAGTGAAGAAACTGTGGCACCGACAAAGTTCAAGAGACCGAGCAGCTGAACTTTTTGACCTTTGACCTCCAAATTCTAACCAGATATCTTTGAGTCCAACTGAACGTTTGGAACAAATCTGGAGAAATTCTGTCGAGGTGTTTCTGAGATAACCTGTTCACAACATGTCTCCAGCGATGATGCATTCAAATGTGTGTGTGTGTGTGTGTGTGTGTGTGTGTGTGTGTGTGTGTGTGTGTGTGTGTGCGTGTGGTCGTACTGTAGCCAGGTCCAGGATGGTTTTGTCTCTCACTTCACTGTCCTCCTCCTCGTCCTCATCGCTGAACTCTGCGGCCGCGCTCTCGATGAACTTGAAAGCCTCCAACACGGCGGCTGAGTCCGACATGTCGGGTTTACTGGCGGGAAAATGGTGACATGAAATTACTTCTGAAGAGAAAACATGGAGGAGATGTTAATCTACAGATAGATCGTTTTTTTATTTCTGTGGGTCACATGGTACCTGACCATGCCGCTGTCCTTTAGTGAAGACGCTTCGGTGCCGTTGACCATGGGTTGGGACGTCCTCTCTGAGGGTTTGTCTGTAGAGTCTCCGGTCAGACCGAGCAGCGCTCTCACCCGCTGAGACTTCACATCCAGGACGGTGTCGGTGTATCCCACCTCCTGCAGGTACCTGGGGGGGGGGGGCAAGACAGGAAGTGGGTCAGTGTGGATGTCCTGCTGCTCTACAGGCTCCACCCCTTGTCTGAATGTCCCCCACATGTTCCTGTTGTTGTGAAGGAGTCGACGATCTGCTGCTTCACACACACTGACTACACAACATGTCTACACAACATGACCACACAACATGACTACACAACACGATTTAATCCCTGTGTGAAAACATCGTCAAACCTTTTATCTCAAATAAAACCAACTGAACATGAAAATAAAGCCCTGAAGACAGTGAGGTCATGAATCTCAGAGTTTCACTCAGGAGTCAAACCTCCGTCTCCTTTTGAAAGCTCAGTGTTCGATTCTGATAAATCTGTCGAGCTCTGGTGGATAAAGAACGTACAGCAGAAGAAAGCGAGACATGAAGTCAAATAAAGTGAAAAACAAAGAGAAGGAAAACAGCGACTGTTGCACTGAGCTACACAACAAGTCACTTCATTAGAGAAGCGTCTCCTCACACACACACTGATGTTCACAGAGACAGACACACACACACGTATAAATCACAGCAGCACTGTGTCACTGCAGAGTCAAAGCGTATTGTTTTACTTTATACAAGACAAACTGGGCCGTACGAAAAAACTGAATTGATTCTAGTGAGTGAAGCTGCTGAACCATCATCTGACCTGCGTGTTTAGTAAAGATGCTTTTCAGTTTGAGAGCAGAACTGATTTTAAATGCTTTCACTCTAAACCCTGTGATCACACTGCTTGTGCTCCAACTCTCTGCTCTGATCAGGTTTACTGGGTCTGGTGGACAAAGAGTTTAGATCTTGAAGTTAAGCCAAAAAAACTGACATCAACCCGTTAATAACGCTTTGGTATGTTAGAGCAGCTGTAGCTCAGAACTGAAGCCACACGAGAGCAGGATTATTCTTTAATATGAGAACTGAAGAAGTTTAAACTCTACTGTACCTTCACCCTGGAGGAACACGACACGGTGGACCAACGAGTATTCTGAACAACATGCAGTGTCCCAGAGAGAGAGAGAGAGAGAGAGAG